TAGAAGAGATGGCAATTTTTTTGTAGAAAATTTTATGGACAGACGAGGCAATGTTTACCCGCCGAGGTGTTGCAAATTTTCATTAATTATCATCTACGGGCACACGAAAATCCTCGTGATCATCTACGGGCACACGAAAATCCTCGTGCAATAAGATCAACGAATTTTCAACATGAATTTAGCGTCAATATATGGCTCAGAATTATTGGAGGTTACATTTGCGGCTCTCACATCTTATCACCCAGATTGAATGCCGTATCATTTTTTGAATTCCTTGATGAAAATATTCCAGGTATTTTGCCTTTACACGTGAGGCATAATAATTGGCTCCAATTGGATGGTGCTCCAGCACATTACGGAATGCAAGTTAGGAACTGGATGAATGCTAATTATCCAAGACGGTGGATTGGGCGTGGTGGACCTGTAGCATGGCCAGCACGTTCACCTGACATTACACCATTAGATTTTTTTGCATGGGGATTTTTGAAGAAAAAAGTGTATTCTAGTCCAGTCCATACAAGAGATGAATTAATCGACCGCATAAATACTGCGTGCGATGACTTTCGTCAAAATCAGCATCAGTTGGCATTGGTTCGACGGTCATTAATTCGGAGATGTGAACTGTGTATTGAAAAGAACGGATCTCACTTTGAGCACCTTTTGTAGATTTATTCTTGTTTCCCTTTTTTTGTTTTTGACCACTGTTCTGTCTTTAAAGATTTCATTACCGTTTTGCTGTTTTCTATGATGTTATTATTGCTTAAATTAAAAATCATTTTTTAATGTTGTTGTTTTTATTTTATTATATTCATAATGAACACTAATACGTGAGCCCAATCCCCTATTGATTTGATGAAATTTCTATCAGAGAAAAATTATTGATAAAAAATCATCAAGAACCCCCCAAACGAGACGCCTCTGTTTATTTTACATAAACTAAAGTACAATGTAATCAAAGATATTTAGTGAAACAATCAAATGGTTTCCCCCTAATCCTTTATTGGGGTGTAGCTCTCTTAGGAAGCGATTCGGAGTACAAGTTTACTAGAAATATTCTGCCTAAAATAACTTTTTCTAAAACCTCCTAATGTCCTGGGATTAAAAACTGAAACACCTTATGTATCGATTATCATTCATTAGCATATACATAATTCTGATTTACTCGTTGATAATTGCAATTTTAATATACAAAAAGTTTGTCTAATGCTTAAAAAAAAACTGAGGTGTGAATTCAAGAGAAAAAATCATGATGAGTGATATGTCTAAAAACTTTACACCAAATTGACATGCTCCAACCACAGCCTTTTTTTGAAAGAAGTTGGTGCTCCAATCATTCTGAATTAATTGTGGCATGTTTCTGAATTCGTAAATTTAGTGGGCCGGTTAATTTATTTTTCTTGGAACTAGCTAGTCCTACAAGAATAATGAAAGAGACATTTTATCTCTTTTATTATTCTCGTGCTTATTTTAATCTTTACTTGTCAACGGTATAATTGTTTGCTTAATTTTTTTCGAAGAAAAAAGTTCTGGGGTGTGGTAAGCCGACCCACCATCCTTAAACAGATCCTCTAGTTTGTGTTTTTTTTTATCATACTGCATCAAATTAAGTCTGGAGTGGATCTAAAATTGTTTACCAAGTTTAGTATCTCTAACACTTCCTGTTTTAATGGCGTATTTTCTTTTTGCAACTTTTAGTGAAGGCGCCAAGAAACATTCCGTTTAAAAAATCCGTAGGATTCATTCGGGTTGACGATTTACGTTCAGAAAGATGTAAAGAATGAAATTCTAAAGGTTGCCAAACAAAATTTTCGGAAGTTTTTTTTTTCACAACAAAACATAAGGTTATTACGGGAGCGCGCAACTCCAGCGTTTTAAAACTATTATAAATTAATTAGTAATTGATATTTTGATCTAAAATTTTTAAGACAATAGTTTTTCACAACATTGCGGAAAATAGTTTCAAAATTTTGACATTTAAAAAAATATTAAATAGTTTTTGATGTAAGGTATGAAATCAAAAACAGCATAAATATTATAAAATGCAAGTTTAATAAGGTAAAAATATGTAAATACCGGCAATAATATATAATAAAAGTTAATTAACTTAATATAAATTTATTAATTAATTAATTAATTAGTCAATCAATTAATAGTTTATTAATTATTATTAAGTTTAATATCGTTATATTTACCTTTAGCAGGTAAAAAAATATTTTTTCTTTATTTGAAAATATATTTTTTTTAAATGTTAAAATTTAAAAACGGTTTTCCACAATGTTGTAGGAAACCGTTAAAAGGCATGCCTTAAAAATTTTAGATCAAAATATTAATTACTAATTATTTTATATTAGTTTTACGACGCTGGAGTTGCTTGTGAAAAAACGAACTTCCTAAAATTTTGTTTGGCAACCTTTAGAATTTCATTCATCTTTCTGAATGTAAATCATCAAGCCAAATGAATCCTATGGATTTTTTAAAAACAATATTTTTTGGTGCTCGGTCTATTTGACGAGCTGTTACTTTTCAGGGAAGCATTTTTAAGGTAAGCTTACATTTGTAGGTATGGGACGAGTAGATTTGACGATTTACGTTCAGAAAGACGCAAAGAATGAAAATCTAAAGGGTTGCCAAACTAAATTTTCGGAAGTTTTTTTTTCCACAAAAAACAAAGTTATTACGGGAGCGCGCAACTCCAGCGTTTTAAAACTATTATAAATTAATTAGTAATTAACATTTTGATCTAAAATTTTTAAGGCATGTCTTTTAACGGTTTTCTACAACATTGTGGAAAACCGTTTTTTAAATTTTAACATTTAAAAAAATATATTTTCAAATAAAAAAAAGATGTTTTTACCTGCTAAAGGTAAATATAACGATATTAAACTTAATAATAAATAATAAATAAATTAATTAATTAATTAATGAGTTTATAATAAGTTAATTAACTTTTATAATTTATTATTATTGCCGGTATTTACATATTTTTACCTTAGTAAACGTGCATTTTATGATATTTATGCTGTCTTTGATTTCGTACCTTACATCAAAAACTATTTAATATTTGTAACGTAGATAGTTGATCCCATATATAATTATTACATAAAGGAAACAAAAAATTCCATAAAATTTTATTAATTATTTTAAAAATTATTACTTAATATCAACAAGGAATTTTTATATTTATAAAAATTCCTGTTCTATATGTGAATAATATTTTTAGAAACTCATTAATAAGAATTTTATGAATTTTTCTTAATTTTAATATTTCTTTAAAAGTAAAAATTTTGAAATGGTTTTCCGCAATGTTGTGAAAAACCATTAAAAACACGTCTTAAAAATTTTAGATCAAAATATTAATTACTAATTAATTTATAATAGTTTTAAAACGCTGGAGTTGTGCGCTCCCGTAATAACCTTGTGTTTTGTTGTGAAAAAAAATGTCCGAAAATTTTGTCTGGCAACTTTTAGAATTTCATTCTTTACATCTTTCTGAAGGTAAATCGTCAACCCGAATGAATTTTACGGATTTTTTTAAACGGAATGTTTCGTGGCGCCTGCACTAAAAGTTGCAAAAGGAAAATACGCCATTAAATCAGGAAGTGTTAAGTTAGAGATACTAAACTCGGTAAACATTTTTAGATCTACTTCAGACTTAATTTGATGCAGTATGATAAAAAAAAATAAAAACTAGAGGACTTGTTTAAGAATGGTGGGCCGCCATACCACCCCCAGAACTTGGGCGCGCAATTCCAGCGTTTTAAAACTATTATAAATTAATTAGTAATTAATATTTTGATCTAAAATTTTTAAGACATGTCTTTTTAAGGTTTTTCACAACATTGCGGAAAACCGTTTCAAAATTTTGACATTTAAAAAAATATTAAATAGTTTTTGATGTAAGGTATGAAATCAAAAACAGCACAAATATCACAAAATGCAAGTTTAATAAGGTAAAAATATGTAAATATCGGCAATAATAATAAATAATAAAAGTTAATTAACTTATTACAAATTAACTTATTATAAACTTAAAATTAATTAATTAATTAATTAATTAATTAATTAATAGTTTATTAATTTTTATTAAGTTTAATATCGTTATATTTACCTTTAGCAGGTAAATGAATGTTTTTTTTATTTGAAAATATATATTTTTTTAAATGTTAAAATTTAAAAACGGTTTTCCACAACATCCGTTAAAAGACATGTTTTAAAAATTTTAGATCAAAATATTAATTACTAATTATTTTATACCAGTTTTACGACGCTGTAGTTGCGCGGTCCCGTAATAACCTTACGGTTTTCGTGAAAACCTTTAGAATTTCAGTCATCTTTCTGAATGTAAATCATCAACCCGAATGAATCTTACGGATTTTTTAAAAACAGAATTTTTCTTGGCGCTTGGTCTATTTGACGAGCTTTTGAGGGTAGCATTTTTAAAATAACCTCACATTTGTACGTATCGGACGGGTAGATGGACGAAAATTATTACTTCCTTGATTTTGAACGGGACAAGGCAGATTGATACGCATAGGATGCATCGCATGAGAGGAAATTCGTTAAGGATTCTTTTAAACGAATGAAATCCGTCTAAGCAATATGTACGAATGATGTCATTCGGAAATTCGCGTGTGTGTACCATGTCACAACAGGAATCGGCTCAAAATAATCGTAATTTATTACAAACTACTCTACTCCTGACACGCTATAAAAATTAATATTTTTGCTAGTAGACTAAAACAATAAATAACTGCCATAATATTACAGCTGAAATATTTTAAATTAAATCACCAACTAAAAATTAATATTTAAATGAGCCTTGCCATATTTGTCATAAAAATTCCGACGGGTATATATTAAACACCTCACCACAGGTAATACAATCCACTGTATTCCTGAGGGCAACACAAGGTACCTTGTACAAGGAGAGGGCTACACATTTAGGACACACACCCAATGTCCGAGTATGCTGGGATTAATTTCTGATTTAGAAAAAGTCCTAGCTACTCGACCGGGAATCGAACCCGGGACACCAGTGTGAGGGCCAGATCTCCTTACCACTCGACCACGAAGCCACATATTCTGCTATTACGAGCGTCAAATTTATGCAAAAACGACAGAACTTCCTACATTTTCAACTTCATTGCCATGTGGAGAGACTATTTTAATATCAAAATTACATCTCATAAGAAAGTAATTTTTTATTTGGCTGGAAATGGGGATATTGAAAATTACGTTCTTATGAAATGTAATTTTGATTTTAAAATAATAAAAATAAATAATAAGAAAGTAATTTTGTATTTGGCTGAAAATGGGGATATTGAAAATTACGTTCTTATGAAATGTAATTTTGATTTGAAAATAATCTGTCCACATGGCAATGAAGTTGTAAAATGCAGGAAGTTCTGCCGTTTCCATGAATTAATGTTTACAAGATTTATGGACAAAAATTGGGTTAGGTTTATGATGGGTTGCCTGGTTACTCCGGAGCGATATTAATAAATAAACCATCATACAGAGCGTGAATCATTACTAAACTTTAAAATGATTCTTAGCAAGTTCCACTTGGCTTTCAGAATCAACAAGGTTAAAATAAGGTGAAGCGGTTCGATTTGTGAGATCAGGGTTAAGTAGGTACTTTCTCTTGGCAAGAAGCTGTTACATACGTTAATAACTGAAGCTGATTTTGAAATATAGAAGGAATATCGTTGCGCCGTGTGAAATTGCATTTTTTATAAATTGCATGTTATGCATATGGATTCGTTCGTTGGAGCATATGATTAAGTTTAAATAACTAACATTCACCTTCAAATAGTGAATGAAAACTCGTTTAAATTTTAACCAGTTCAGTTATTCGTCAAAATATAGGTTGTATGGTTAAAACATTACGAAATTAGATATAAGGACCGTGATTAAAAAATTTTGTTGGACAAACAAGACTAGCAATTTAAATTAGGGTTATACAGCATGTGCTCCAACTAAATTATGAAAAAACAAATAAGACAATTGGATGCTTTTGAAAGCTTGGAAATCAACAAACGATTTGAAACCCGAATAATACACTATAGTGGTAAATAAATAAATAAATAAATGAATAGGGTACGTGCTTAGTTTCAGTTTATTCATCTCCAGACGAAACCAACCTGGTTGCCGACTCACTCGTTGTGTAGAGTGTAGTGTTTAGATGTTTGTAGAAACTACTTCAATTCTGGTAATATTAAAAAAAACATATTTATGAACAAATATATATTTTACCAGTTACTTTCAAATCCAATGTCATTTAATACTATTTCAAGCATGATAATATCACAGCATAAGATAAAATTTGTGTGGAATATTTGTTTACGGTAGAGAAGTTATGTATATAATTAATTTTAAATTTGATCAGTTCTGAACTAGCTGCAGAATGCAAACTAGTTTACACCGGCCATGCACGGAAATTCTTATTAATATTTACAAATAACGGTAGTATATAAAAGAAAGACATTAAATTTAGATATTACAGTTCAAAACTATTTATAAAGAGGTCGTCAAACTTTTATAAATTATATCTTGTCAGGCAATATTCTTTGTTCTTTAAAAAATATAACAAAAGCTAGTCATATATGTACGTAATTTTAAATATTTTCAGGATGTACATTAGTAAAATAGTGGTTGACTGCTTTATCGTTAAACCCTTCTGCATTCTAAATGATTCTATAAATAAATGGTTCTAGAATCGAATGTCGGCTATAATAGTTAAAGCAAACTGTGATAATTAAATTTGCCGACTGCATGTACTTACTTGACTACTTGATCTGTGTTGTAAGTAATATATTGTATGATCACACCATTTTATTTTCGTTCCAAACCGAACCGTTTTACGGTATGCGATTCTACTGGTGACACTGCGAAATATTTTTCTCCAGCCAGGTGGAGAATATATCTATCGACAAGTTTCAAATATATTGCTTTTTTATAAAGTGCACCATTTTGAAATTTGCACAGTGAAAAATTAATCTAAAATAAAATTTCAAAACGGTGTAATTTTTGATGAAATTAAAAACCTGTCGATATTTTTCCACTAGATTTTGAAAAAAAAAAGTTTTGCAAATATTTTACAAATTGTCTAAAAAATAACCTGGAGAGGCACACAACTTTCGCAATTTTTCCTCTGCAAAACTTCTTCATTTAGTGTTGATAGTTATGCCTAAAAGTATCGCTTGGGTCCCATACTTCAATACAAAGATATGATATAACTAACCTAAATATTACCAACCGCCGGTGGTGGAGACATGGCTAGCGGCAGTTGGATATTATCATCAACATCTTCAAAGAATGCAGATTTTTATTTTGCAGTTAAAATCTAGTGTATCAAAAGCCATCTTCGAGGCACATTTCACGAATCTCGAGGTAGAAGAGGCGATACATGTGATTCATAACATTCATACCGTGGTCCTTGACAGTATCCGACGATTAGAAAATTCTTCATTGCTATTAGAAGTCTTTAATCTTATTCATAATGTATCTACAAAATATATTAAAAGCTCTAGATGTCCTCAGTATGCGAGTGAGTAAGCGGTGTAATGGCATTTTAAAAATAAATGCGGGATATGAAAAGTTGTGTTTCTTTCATTAACCGGATCTCGATGAGGAACATAGTTTCAAGGAAACCTTTTCAGCAGAAAACCTAGAAGCTATGTCACTCATGCAAATGTTCGCTGGTGCGCAATTGTACTCAATACGTGACATGTAATAGTTAACCAGTTTTATACTTGTAGGTAATATGTAGATATTTTATTTATCATCTGTGGCAACAAATGTATTATCAGGAAGTACAAGTGCTACTACTGAAAATGGCCGTCACGGATTCCCCGAATTACAACCCTTTCGAAACATGGTGACGCCAGCAAGTTCGTTCATCCATTAGGTATACCTTATCGACTTGGTACTGTGAACCCGGATCTGGGGGGGGTGCGCCACTGTGCGTCATACCACCTAACCGATACATAAAGGTGCTTCCAAATTAAGCGCGCTGCGTTGTGCAAACGTCGCAGCAACATGCAGTTGTGACAGCTGCGCAGCTGTCCGGTGAAATTGCATGTTTGTACAATATTTGCTTGATCTGGAAGCGCCTTTAAAAAGTTATTAGCACAAAACAGCAAACATCCCTGAATAGGCCCCATGCAAAAAATATAATTTTGGCATTTTTGGAATCTACTTAATACAAAAAACAGTGTGTAAAGGATATTTTTCTATTTTGTCTTTTACAAAAGTTATTCAACATTAAAGTTTGAGCTGATGTGTATAAATATTTCACCAGAAAAAACTTTTATCCAAGTTCCAAAAAACAAAAAACGTAGGAAATTGTGGTTAAAGAAGATTAGACAGGATTCAAAGAAGTTTTTGAAAAAAAAGTTGCGTTCCGCCTCTTTCAAGAGCCACAGCGTGTTGTAGATAATCCGCCGCCTGTAGATGTCGAAACCTTATGGAAGGGAATCTACGAAACGACGCGTCCATTCAACAGCGACACTCCAGCAACTGCACACTTCGAGGCACTATGCCACAGACATCTTGAAGAGCCAGAAGAAGTGTGCCCCGCAATCAGTACGGAGGAAGTCCAACAAGCATTTGTTGGTACCAAGAACTTCGCTGCCCCGGGCCCAGACGGCATTAACAACGTTGGTGGAAGAAATTTCCTTCCACTCACCGCCGTCTGGCGCGTGTTTTCAACTCATGGTTGCACGAGGGGCTTGACTGGTTCGTCGAGGGACGTACTGTGCTCATCCCCAAAAAGGAGGTTCTTTCCAACTCGAGGAATTATTGGCCGATCACTTGCTTCAACTCCTGCTAAAAGATATTTACTCGTATCTTGTATGCTAGATCTGGTGATCCAGTCTTCCAGCAGATACAAGAACATCATGGTGCCAAGAAGGGCATGGCAGGTTGCAAGGACAGCTTGCTGATAGACCGCTGTATTACACAGGATTCTGTGCAATACAAGCGGAATCTATCGATAGACTGGATTGATTACCGCAAGTCATTTGATATAACATCGCACGAGCTATTGTTGCACTTGCTCGAATGTCTTGCGGTACTAGCACCACTAGTGAGATGCACAAAACAGCTGCTGCCGCTCTGGAAGACTCGCTTCACCATAACATCAGGTGCACAGCGGGTCACGACAGAGCAGGGGGCATTTAGGAGAGGAGTTTTCCAGGGTGACTCCCTGAGTCTTTTCCTCTTCTGCATCTCACTGCTACCGTTATCAGTTGGGCTCCGTCAAAGCTGCGAATATCAATGTGGACCACCCAGCGACCGGAGGCATAAGGTCACCCATCTATTTTATATGGGTGATCTAAAACTTTATGCCTCCGGAGAGCGCGAACTACAAAATGTTCTTAGGGTGGTCGAAGAATACATGCGGGCCATTGGTATGGAGTTCGGGTTGGAGAAATGTGCAGTCATCTACCTCAAGAGAGAACGATGCAGGGAATTCCCTGAAGATGCGCAACTCGCAGACGGAAGCATCCTAAGGCATCTGGATGCCGGAGAGACCTATACATATCTGGGTGTGCAACAAAGGCACATCCATGATGTAACACAAATAAAGGATTCTCTCCGCGGCAAGTACAGACACCGCCTCCGAAAGATTTGGTCTTCCGAACTTTCGGGGAAGAACAAGGTGTCTGCAACTAATATGCTTGCCGTTCCGGTTCTACTCTACTTCTTCGGAGTAGTAAAGTGGACGGTAGATGAGCTGCGCCAATTAGGCAGAGATACCCGCACGATGATGAATATTCACAGAAGTATTCATCCTAGATCGTCCGTTCTTCGTGGGTACCTCCCTCGTCAACGGGGGGCCGAGGACTCTTGAGCCTGGAATGTACGCATGGCAGAGTAGTACTGAGTATGGCATGTAACATCCTCAGAAGCTCAGATTCCCTCTTGCGGTTTGTAAAACACTACAAAACTGTAGGAGTGGAAGCGGGATTGTTCAAGGCAGAAAAAAGAGCCGCAGATGACCTTGGCCTCGTATTTGACATCAGGCGAGGAAGCCGGCGAGGTGCTGATGTAGAGTCAGTCACTGAACTTC